GTGGCTCAATAAAAATTGGGGCTGCTCAGAGAGAAGCACTAAATGACATAGTTTGTAACTGTTTCAAAAAATGTTTCAATTTTTTACAACCATTTTCCATGCAGTTTCATGCGCCGGTTATGTTTGCTGTCCTTTGGCTGACCTTCTAGATAAGACATCAGGATGAAAACGTGAATGTTGAGAGCAGATTCAAGGGGAAGATAGATAATTCATATCGATTGGGGTTACAAGGATATTTAGTAGATGCATGAGCGTCACTGTTTCCAACACTCAATCGTATTACTCAGTATCTCTCTCCACCGATTACTGTGGTCCAGAAAACCTAACCCGGCCTATATGAGCAAGTCTCCTTATCAGGGTTTTCATATCTTCATGCCAGATCTTAGTTTGACCTCTTTCCGTCCGCTTGGTCCGGTGGACTACTGCGGTTACCTAAACCTCTACGCCTAACCTCAGCATTGCTTTTTTGCTTTCCCCAGAAGACTCGTGCATTGAGACGTAGACAGCGGTGTTCTAACACTGACAATCTATTTTCTCCTGTTACTGTAGTGACCAAGTCTCTGCACCGTAGAGCCGAACTGGCTTAACTACTGTACCATTCACTCGACCTTTATCAGAATGAGTGTCCACGGAACCTGACTTACATTCAGGGAACTTCTGTTTTGCATTTTTAAAATTTGACTAATGACTTTTGCTGTTTTGAGCACTCAAAAAAATATTTCCTCACACAATTTAGTCGATTTGGGACAAATTCACCAGTTTAGTATGCGATTTACTGATGTTTTATCTTTCTTGCGCCTTCTGTCACAGGCATGCGATTTAGACTTTCGACAGTCATAGAAGCTATCGAGTCATTTCGGTAATTCCATCCACTAAAAAGAATTTCAAAAGCTGCTTTCAATGTTGATCTTTACCTAAAGCCATGATTTTTGATTGTAAGATTAAACTCATTCCAATGTAGTCAACTGTTTGGTCTTTGCAAGGCATTGAGGCAGTTTGAAAACTCACGCACAACCCTCGATTTAGTACAACATGTGCTCTCCCAGATACTTCATACCGACTGCTGTAGACCGCTTTCGTTAGGCTTTCCACCCAAGATACTAAGACACGTGGGCACACGGATTAGCATTTAGTTCACCGAGTATACCTTGGTTAATACTAACCGTACTTTCTTCTGGTTCTATGAGAGAAAAAATGTTGTAGTTATAAATCATTTATTCTCTGTTATTGTGACGTTTTTTGTTCTCTAAATAAAAATTTTGAGGTGAAAGAAAATCTGATTTATATCTATGATATATACTCTCGTTTTGTTGAAACAAGATTCTACGGCTCATGTATAATTTTTTTTATTTTGCAATTTGCTTTCCGCCCTCTCTGATTCGACGGACGTTAGGCGCGTGATCGAAGGAAGAGACTCAATACGTGTACAACGCTGTGATAGGTGTGGAAAAATGACATTAAACGGGTTTTGCGCCTTCAATCGTTTTTGCGACATGTTTATTTTTGGACCCATTACCTCATAGCTAGTCTACAGCATTCTTTGCGGCTAATCCCTGAAAGGAGACATGTGGGGAGATGTAGGCTTTTGCTTCTCTTTTCGCGTATGTGAAACATGTTGATTTTCACACCTAGTAATTCTAAGTGCAAACCACGAAAATAAACGCAACCCCCCTCCCCATGCTGGAGAGGTTTGCTTTGTCTGGAGCCTTTGAGTCTAGTTCGCATAACGATGTCTTATGTGCTGTGGTGAGCACTACCTCA